TCATGCCATTCATGGCCATCATCCACTCCGCACTCCACTGCTCCCTATCTCTAGCGCTTCCTACCCTATCCCTAGCGCTCCCTACCCTATCCCTAGCGCTCCCAATCCCTAGCGCTCCCTATCCCTAGCGCTCCCAATCCCTAGCGCTCCCTATCCCTAGCGCTCCCTATCCCCAGCGCTCCCTATCCCTAGCGCTCCCTATCTCTACTGCACCTATCCCTATTTCTCCCTATCCCTCACTGCTCCCTATCCCTCACTGCACCCCATCCCTTACTGCTTCTTATCCGTCCGTCACTGCTCCCTCACTGCTCCCTACCCTAGGCAGGAGATGAAACGACAGGCGAGCCGAGTCGGGCTCAAGTCCAATTGGTTTGACTTTTCCTGGGCTGGAGGGGGAATTTCAGCAGGTTGGCCCGGGTCGGGCCGAACTGGGTTTGGCCCAGCGAACCAGCAAGATTCGACGGTTTTGGGCTTGCCAAAGGATAAACCCTAAACCCTAAACCCCGAACCGCCTCTAGGCGCCGCCTGACACAAACCTTGCAGGGCTCGCCCCCAGGACCCTCGCGTATTGTTTTGCGATGGTCCTTCTATGGGCATGCGATGAAAATCTGAAGCTCATTAATTATCCGCCCCTGTGCACCCCTGCCCTCACTCACTGCCACCGCTGCCCCCATGCCATGCGCAGCTCCGTGTGGAAGAACAACCCGTCAGGCAGCTTTTGAGGCTCCTCAAGAGTCGCCCCTGTGCACCCCTATCCACCCCTGGGCACCCCTATCCACCCCTGTGCACCCCTATCCACCCCTGTGCACCCCTATCCACCCCTGTGCACCCCTATCCACCCCTGTGCACCCCTATCCACCCCTGTGCACCCCTATCCACCCCTGTGCACCCCTATCCACCCCTGTGCACCCCTATCCACCCCTGTGCACCCCTATCCACCCCTGTGCACCCCTATCCACCCCTGTGCACCCTATCCACCCCTGTGCACCCTATCCACCCCTGTGCACCCCTATCCACCCCTGTGCACCCTATCCACCCCTGTGCACCCCTATCCACCCCTGTGCACCCCTATCCACCCCTGTGCACCCTATCCACCCCTGTGCACCCCTATCCACCCCTGTGCACCCCTGGCCCTCACTGCGTGCAACAGCTCCTTTTGGAAGAACAACCTGTCAGGCAACATTCCCGAGTCCATAGGCAGCCTCACCAAGCTCAGCAGCCTGTCAGTCTCTCACCACGGGCTGCTGCTGCCCTTGCACCTGATGCTGCTTTGGAAGCGATGCGCCTATCCTTGCATCCGTTGCTGCTTTTGGGGCGCCGCGCCTACTCTTGCAGCACATGCTGGTGCATTCTAAGAGCTGATCTGATGAGCCAGCCTTTTGAGGCGTCTCAAAAGTCATTTGCTGGTGCATTCCAAGAGCTGATCTGATGAGCCAGCCTTGAGGCGTCTCAAAAGTCATTTGCTGGTGCATTCCAAGAGCTGATCTGATGAGCCAGCCTTCTAGAAGAACTAGTTCGGCTTGGTTATTTGCTCATGCCTGGTCTGAATAACAGCCTGCCAGTATTTCCATCGCCACCCTCTCACTGCAGTGCGGGCTACCTCCCTTACAGCTGATGCAGGGAGGGGAGAGGGGCAGCGCTACACCTCAAGAGATAATATTTTCTTTTGTTTAGCTGCCTCAGAATTTGTTTCTCTTCTCACTGTAGTACATGACTAGAGGGGCAACACCACGTGCTTGCTCCGAAAACTTCCCCACCTCTGCTCGTGCTCCTGTTTTACGAGAGTATCTGCTGTGAAGGGTGCCACCTCCCCTCCCCTCCACCCATGTAGGAAGAAACAGCCGATGATCGATGATGTGACTGACAATGCTGATGAGTTGAGTGTGTGGCAGGGACAAGGCGGTGAACGAACAGCCAATGATGTGACTGACAAGGCTGATGAGTTGAGTGTGTGGCAGGGACAAGGCGGTGAACGAACAGCCAATGATGTGACTGACAAGGCTGATGAGTTGAGTGTGTGGCAGGGACAAGGCGGTGAACGAACAGCCAATGATGTGACTGACAAGGCTGATGAGTTGAGTGTGTGGCAGGGACAAGGCGGTGAACGAACAGCCAATGATGTGACTGACAAGGCTGATGAGTTGAGTGTGTGGCAGGGACAAGGCGGTGAACGAACAGCCAATGATGTGACTGACAAGGCTGATGAGTTGAGTGTGTGGCAGGGACAAGGCGGTGAACGAACAGCCAATGATGTGACTGACAAGGCTGATGAGTTGAGTGTGTGGCAGGGACAAGGCGGTGAACGAACAGCCAATGATGTGACTGACAAGGCTGATGAGTTGAGTGTGTGGCAGGGACAAGGCGGTGAACAAACAGCCAATGATGTGACTGACAAGGCTGATGAGTTGAGTGTGTGGCAGGGACAAGGCGGTGAACGAACAGCCAATGATGTGACTGACAAGGCTGATGAGTTGAGTGTGTGGCAGGGACAAGGCGGTGAACGAACAGCCAATGATGTGACTGACAAGGCTGATGAGTTGAGTGTGTGGCAGGGACAAGGCGGTGAACGAACAGCCAATGATGTGACTGACAAGGCTGATGAGTTGAGTGTGTGGCAGGGACCTGTCAGACAACCAGCTAGACAGAACCCTTTGAGTTGACTCAAAAGTCACCATGATGTGGCTGACAGGGCTGACGAGTGTGTGGCAGGGACCTGTCAGACAACCAGCTTGAGGGAACCATCCCCGAGGGCATTGGCAACATGAAGGATATTCGGAAACTGTGAGATCGCTCAATGATTCCACCAATCCGGATTCCCACCTCCTGTTTTCTTCATCCAACCATCATGGTGGGAATCTGTGTGACCCTCAGTGTTGCTCTCATTACATTCCCTCCCTCTCTCGTACCTCCACACACCACAACATGCCATGCCAACACTGTGTGCTCTGCACCGTCATGCCAACACTGTGTGCTCTGCAACGTCATGCCAACATTCTGTGCCCTGCACTCGACGCCATGCAGCTCTGTAGATTGTACATTCTTATCACTGGAGAAACGCCACCACTGTGTGCGCTGTCACTGTGTGTGCTGTCTATCACTGTGTGTGCTGTCTATCACTGTGTGTGCTGTCTGTCACTGTGTGTGCTGTCTGTCACTGTGTGTGCTGTCTGTCACTGTGTGTGCTGTCTGTCACTGTGTGTGCTGTCTATCACTGTGTGTGCTGTCTGTCACTGTGTGTGCTGTCTGTCACTGTGTGTGCTGTCTGTCACTGTGTGTGCTGTCTGTCACTGTGTGCGCTGTTTGTCTCTGTGCTGCATGACCGCGCAGGGATCTCTCCGGCAACCACTTGACCGGGACTCTCCCCACCACCCTCTCGCGCCTCTCTGGCCTGTTTCAGCTGTGAGTCACAATTCACGAGGCAGCAGGGGTACATGGGTGCATGGGGACATGGAAGCGTGGATGCATGGGATGGGACCATGGAATGGATGCGTAGGGTCATGGGTGGATGCATAGGGTCATGGGTGGATGCATAGGGTCATGGGTGGATGCATAGGGTCATGGGTGGATGCATAGGGTCATGGGTGGATGCATAGGGTCATGGGTGGATGCATAGGGTCATGGGTGGATGCATAGGGTCATGGGTGGATGCATAGGGTCATGGGTGGATGCATAGGGTCATGGGTGGATGCATAGGGTCATGGGTGGATGCATAGGGTCATGGGTGGATGCATAGGGTCATGGGTGGATGCATAGGGTCATGGGTGGATGCATAGGGTCATGGGTGGATGCATAGGGTCATGGGTGGATGCATAGGGTCATGGGTGGATGCATAGGGTCATGGGTGGATGCATAGGGTCATGGGTGGATGCATAGGGTCATGGGTGGATGCATAGGGTCATGGGTGGATGCATAGGGTCATGGGTGGATGCATAGGGTCATGGGTGGATGCATAGGGTCATGGGTGGATGCATAGGGTCATGGGTGGATGCATAGGGTCATGGGTGGATGCATAGGGTCATGGGTGGATGCATAGGGTCATGGGTGGATGCATAGGGTCATGGGTGGATGCATAGGGTCATGGGTGGATGCATAGGGTCATGGGTGGATGCATAGGGTCATGGGTGGATGCATAGGGTCATGGGTGGATGCATAGGGTCATGGGTGGATGCATAGGGTCATGGGTGGATGCATAGGGTCATGGGTGGATGCATAGGGTCATGGGTGGATGCATAGGGTCATGGGTGGATGCATAGGGTCATGGGTGGATGCATAGGGTCATGGGTGGATGCATAGGGTCATGGGTGGATGCATAGGGTCATGGGTGGATGCATAGGGTCATGGGTGGATGCATAGGGTCATGGGTGGATGCATAGGGTCATGGGTGGATGCATAGGGTCATGGGTGGATGCATAGGGTCATGGGTGGATGCATAGGGTCATGGGTGGATGCATAGGGTCATGGGTGGATGCATAGGGTCATGGGTGGATGCATAGGGTCATGGGTGGATGCATAGGGTCATGGGTGGATGCATAGGGTCATGGGTGGATGCATAGGGTCATGGGTGGATGCATAGGGTCATGGGTGGATGCATAGGGTCATGGGTGGATGCATAGGGTCATGGGTGGATGCATAGGGTCATGGGTGGATGCATAGGGTCATGGGTGGATGCATAGGGTCATGGGTGGATGCATAGGGTCATGGGTGGATGCATAGGGTCATGGGTGGATGCATAGGGTCATGGGTGGATGCATAGGGTCATGGGTGGATGCATAGGGTCATGGGTGGATGCATAGGGTCATGGGTGGATGCATAGGGTCATGGGTGGATGCATAGGGTCATGGGTGGATGCATAGGGTCATGGGTGGATGCATAGGGTCATGGGTGGATGCATAGGGTCATGGGTGGATGCATAGGGTCATGGGTGGATGCATAGGGTCATGGGTGGATGCATAGGGTCATGGGTGGATGCATAGGGTCATGGGTGGATGCATAGGGTCATGGGTGGATGCATAGGGTCATGGGTGGATGCATAGGGTCATGGGTGGATGCATAGGGTCATGGGTGGATGCATAGGGTCATGGGTGGATGCATAGGGTCATGGGTGGATGCATAGGGTCATGGGTGGATGCATAGGGTCATGGGTGGATGCATAGGGTCATGGGTGGATGCATAGGGTCATGGGTGGATGCATAGGGTCATGGGTGGATGCATAGGGTCATGGGTGGATGCATAGGGTCATGGGTGGATGCATAGGGTCATGGGTGGATGCATAGGGTCATGGGTGGATGCATAGGGTCATGGGTGGATGCATAGGGTCATGGGTGGATGCATAGGGTCATGGGTGGATGCATAGGGTCATGGGTGGATGCATAGGGTCATGGGTGGATGCATAGGGTCATGGGTGGATGCATAGGGTCATGGGTGGATGCATAGGGTCATGGGTGGATGCATAGGGTCATGGGTGGATGCATAGGGTCATGGGTGGATGCATAGGGTCATGGGTGGATGCATAGGGTCATGGGTGGATGCATAGGGTCATGGGTGGATGCATAGGGTCATGGGTGGATGCATAGGGTCATGGGTGGATGCATAGGGTCATGGGTGGATGCATAGGGTCATGGGTGGATGCATAGGGTCATGGGTGGATGCATAGGGTCATGGGTGGATGCATAGGGTCATGGGTGGATGCATAGGGTCATGGGTGGATGCATAGGGTCATGGGTGGATGCATAGGGTCATGGGTGGATGCATAGGGTCATGGGTGGATGCATAGGGTCATGGGTGGATGCATAGGGTCATGGGTGGATGCATAGGGTCATGGGTGGATGCATAGGGTCATGGGTGGATGCATAGGGTCATGGGTGGATGCATAGGGTCATGGGTGGATGCATAGGGTCATGGGTGGATGCATAGGGTCATGGGTGGATGCATAGGGTCATGGGTGGATGCATAGGGTCATGGGTGGATGCATAGGGTCATGGGTGGATGCATAGGGTCATGGGTGGATGCATAGGGTCATGGGTGGATGCATAGGGTCATGGGTGGATGCATAGGGTCATGGGTGGATGCATAGGGTCATGGGTGGATGCATAGGGTCATGGGTGGATGCATAGGGTCATGGGTGGATGCATAGGGTCATGGGTGGATGCATAGGGTCATGGGTGGATGCATAGGGTCATGGGTGGATGCATAGGGTCATGGGTGGATGCATAGGGTCATGGGTGGATGCATAGGGTCATGGGTGGATGCATAGGGTCATGGGTGGATGCATAGGGTCATGGGTGGATGCATAGGGTCATGGGTGGATGCATAGGGTCATGGGTGGATGCATAGGGTCATGGGTGGATGCATAGGGTCATGGGTGGATGCATAGGGTCATGGGTGGATGCATAGGGTCATGGGTGGATGCATAGGGTCATGGGTGGATGCATAGGGTCATGGGTGGATGCATAGGGTCATGGGTGGATGCATAGGGTCATGGGTGGATGCATAGGGTCATGGGTGGATGCATAGGGTCATGGGTGGATGCATAGGGTCATGGGTGGATGCATAGGGTCATGGGTGGATGCATAGGGTCATGGGTGGATGCATAGGGTCATGGGTGGATGCATAGGGTCATGGGTGGATGCATAGGGTCATGGGTGGATGCATAGGGTCATGGGTGGATGCATAGGGTCATGGGTGGATGCATAGGGTCATGGGTGGATGCATAGGGTCATGGGTGGATGCATAGGGTCATGGGTGGATGCATAGGGTCATGGGTGGATGCATAGGGTCATGGGTGGATGCATAGGGTCATGGGTGGATGCATAGGGTCATGGGTGGATGCATAGGGTCATGGGTGGATGCATAGGGTCATGGGTGGATGCATAGGGTCATGGGTGGATGCATAGGGTCATGGGTGGATGCATAGGGTCATGGGTGGATGCATAGGGTCATGGGTGGATGCATAGGGTCATGGGTGGATGCATAGGGTCATGGGTGGATGCATAGGGTCATGGGTGGATGCATAGGGTCATGGGTGGATGCATAGGGTCATGGGTGGATGCATAGGGTCATGGGTGGATGCATAGGGTCATGGGTGGATGCATAGGGTCATGGGTGGATGCATAGGGTCATGGGTGGATGCATAGGGTCATGGGTGGATGCATAGGGTCATGGGTGGATGCATAGGGTCATGGGTGGATGCATAGGGTCATGGGTGGATGCATAGGGTCATGGGTGGATGCATAGGGTCATGGGTGGATGCATAGGGTCATGGGTGGATGCATAGGGTCATGGGTGGATGCATAGGGTCATGGGTGGATGCATAGGGTCATGGGTGGATGCATAGGGTCATGGGTGGATGCATAGGGTCATGGGTGGATGCATAGGGTCATGGGTGGATGCATAGGGTCATGGGTGGATGCATAGGGTCATGGGTGGATGCATAGGGTCATGGGTGGATGCATAGGGTCATGGGTGGATGCATAGGGTCATGGGTGGATGCATAGGGTCATGGGTGGATGCATAGGGTCATGGGTGGATGCATAGGGTCATGGATGGATGCATGGGTGGATGCATAGGGTCATGGATGGATGCATGGGTGGATGCATAGGGTCATGGGATGGATGCATAGGGTCGATGCATAGGATGCATGGGTGGATGCATAGGGTCATGGATGGATGCATGGGTGGATGCATAGGGTCATGGATGGATGCATGGGTGGATGCATAGGGTCATGGGTGGATGCATGGGTGGATGCATAGGGTCATGGGTGGATGCATGGGTGGATGCATAGCATAGGGTCATGGGTGGATGCATGGGTGGATGCATAGGGTCATGGGTGGATGCATGGGTGGATGCATAGGGTCATGGGTGGATGCATGGATGGATGCATAGGGTCATGGGTGGATGCATGGGTGGATGCATAGGGTCATGGGTGGATGCATGGGTGGATGCATAGGGTCATGGGTGGATGCATGGGTGGATGCATAGGGTCATGGGTGGATGCATGGGTGGATGCATAGGGTCATGGGTGGATGCATGGGTGGATGCATAGGGTCATGGGTGGATGCATGGGTGGATGCATAGGGTCATGGGTGGATGCATGGGTGGATGCATAGGGTCATGGGTGGATGCATGGGTGGATGCATAGGGTCATGGGTGGATGCATGGGTGGATGCATAGGGTCATGGGTGGATGCATGGGTGGATGCATAGGGTCATGGGTGGATGCATGGGTGGATGCATAGGGTCATGGGTGGATGCATGGGTGGATGCATAGGGTCATGGGTGGATGCATGGGTGGATGCATAGGGTCATGGGTGGATGCATGGGTGGATGCATAGGGTCATGGGTGGATGCATGGGTGGATGCATAGGGTCATGGGTGGATGCATGGGTGGATGCATAGGGTCATGGGTGGATGCATGGGTGGATGCATAGGGTCATGGGTGGATGCATGGGTGGATGCATAGGGTCATGGATGGATGCATGGGTGGATGCATAGGGTCATGGATGGATGCATGGGTGGATGCATAGGGTCATGGGTGGATGCATGGGTGGATGCATAGGGTCATGGGTGGATGCATGGGTGGATGCATAGGGTCATGGATGGATGCATGGGTGGATGCATAGGGTCATGGATGGATGCATGGGTGGATGCATAGGGTCATGGATGGATGCATGGGTGGATGCATAGGGTCATGGATGGATGCATGGGTGGATGCATAGGGTCATGGATGGATGCATGGGTGGATGCATAGGGTCATGGGTGGATGCATGGGTGGATGCATAGGGTCATGGGTGGATGCATGGGTGGATGCATAGGGTCATGGGTGGATGCATGGGTGGATGCATAGGGTCATGGATGGATGCATGGGTGGATGCATAGGGTCATGGATGGATGCATGGGTGGATGCATAGGGTCATGGGTGGATGCATGGGTGGATGCATAGGGTCATGGGTGGATGCATGGGTGGATGCATAGGGTCATGGATGGATGCATGGGTGGATGCATAGGGTCATGGATGGATGCATGGGTGGATGCATAGGGTCATGGATGGATGCATGGGTGGATGCATAGGGTCATGGATGGATGCATGGGTGGATGCATAGGGTCATGGATGGATGCATGGGTGGATGCATAGGGTCATGGATGGATGCATGGGTGGATGCATAGGGTCATGGATGGATGCATGGGTGGATGCATAGGGTCATGGATGGATGCATGGGTGGATGCATAGGGTCATGGATGGATGCATGGGTGGATGCATAGGGTCATGGATGGATGCATGGGTGGATGCATAGGGTCATGGATGGATGCATGGGTGGATGCATAGGGTCATGGATGGATGCATGGGTGGATGCATAGGGTCATGGGTGGATGCATGGGTGGATGCATAGGGTCATGGGTGGATGCATGGGTGGATGCATAGGGTCATGGATGGATGCATGGGTGGATGCATAGGGTCATGGGTGGATGCATGGGTGGATGCATAGGGTCATGGGTGGATGCATGGGTGGATGCATAGGGTCATGGATGGATGCATGGGTGGATGCATAGGGTCATGGATGGATGCATGGGTGGATGCATAGGGTCATGGATGGATGCATGGGTGGATGCATAGGGTCATGGATGGATGCATGGGTGGATGCATAGGGTCATGGATGGATGCATGGGTGGATGCATAGGGTCATGGATGGATGCATGGGTGGATGCATAGGGTCATGGATGGATGCATGGGTGGATGCATAGGGTCATGGATGGATGCATGGGTGGATGCATAGGGTCATGGGTGGATGCATGGGTGGATGCATAGGGTCATGGATGGATGCATGGGTGGATGCATAGGGTCATGGATGGATGCATGGGTGGATGCATAGGGTCATGGGTGGATGCATGGGTGGATGCATAGGGTCATGGGTGGATGCATGGGTGGATGCATAGGGTCATGGGTGGATGCATGGGTGGATGCATAGGGTCATGGGTGGATGCATGGGTGGATGCATAGGGTCATGGGTGGATGCATGGGTGGATGCATAGGGTCATGGGTGGATGCATGGGTGGATGCATAGGGTCATGGGTGGATGCATGGGTGGATGCATAGGGTCATGGGTGGATGCATGGGTGGATGCATAGGGTCATGGGTGGATGCATGGGTGGATGCATAGGGTCATGGGTGGATGCATGGGTGGATGCATAGGGTCATGGGTGGATGCATGGGTGGATGCATAGGGTCATGGGTGGATGCATAGGGTCATGGGTGGATGCATGGGTGGATGCATAGGGTCATGGGTGGATGCATGGGTGGATGCATAGGGTCATGGGTGGATGCATGGGTGGATGCATAGGGTCATGGGTGGATGCATGGGTGGATGCATAGGGTCATGGGTGGATGCATGGGTGGATGCATAGGGTCATGGGTGGATGCATGGGTGGATGCATAGGGTCATGGGTGGATGCATGGGTGGATGCATAGGGTCATGGGTGGATGCATGGGTGGATGCATAGGGTCATGGGTGGATGCATGGGTGGATGCATAGGGTCATGGGTGGATGCATGGGTGGATGCATAGGGTCATGGGTGGATGCATGGGTGGATGCATAGGGTCATGGATGGATGCATGGGTGGATGCATAGGGTCATGGGTGGATGCATGGGTGGATGCATAGGGTCATGGGTGGATGCATGGGTGGATGCATAGGGTCATGGGTGGATGCATGGGTGGATGCATAGGGTCATGGATGGATGCATGGGTGGATGCATAGGGTCATGGATGGATGCATGGGTGGATGCATAGGGTCATGGGTGGATGCATGGGTGGATGCATAGGGTCATGGGTGGATGCATGGGTGGATGCATAGGGTCATGGATGGATGCATGGGTGGATGCATAGGGTCATGGATGGATGCATGGGTGGATGCATAGGGTCATGGATGGATGCATGGGTGGATGCATAGGGTCATGGATGGATGCATGGGTGGATGCATAGGGTCATGGATGGATGCATGGGTGGATGCATAGGGTCATGGGTGGATGCATGGGTGGATGCATAGGGTCATGGGTGGATGCATGGGTGGATGCATAGGGTCATGGATGGATGCATGGGTGGATGCATAGGGTCATGGGTGGATGCATGGGTGGATGCATAGGGTCATGGATGGATGCATGGGTGGATGCATAGGGTCATGGATGGATGCATGGGTGGATGCATAGGGTCATGGATGGATGCATGGGTGGATGCATAGGGTCATGGATGGATGCATGGGTGGATGCATAGGGTCATGGATGGATGCATGGGTGGATGCATAGGGTCATGGATGGATGCATGGGTGGATGCATAGGGTCATGGATGGATGCATGGGTGGATGCATAGGGTCATGGATGGATGCATGGGTGGATGCATAGGGTCATGGATGGATGCATGGGTGGATGCATAGGGTCATGGATGGATGCATGGGTGGATGCATAGGGTCATGGATGGATGCATGGGTGGATGCATAGGGTCATGGATGGATGCATGGGTGGATGCATAGGGTCATGGATGGATGCATGGGTGGATGCATAGGGTCATGGATGGATGCATGGGTGGATGCATAGGTTCATGGATGGATGCATGGGTGGATGCATAGGGTCATGGATGGATGCATGGGTGGATGCATAGGGTCATGGATGGATGCATGGGTGGATGCATAGGGTCATGGATGGATGCATGGGTGGATGCATAGGGTCATGGATGGATGCATGGGTGGATGCATAGGGTCATGGATGGATGCATGGGTGGATGCATAGGGTCATGGATGGATGCATGGGTGGATGCATAGGGTCATGGATGGATGCATGGGTGGATGCATAGGGTCATGGATGGATGCATGGGTGGATGCATAGGGTCATGGATGGATGCATGGGTGGATGCATAGGGTCATGGATGGATGCATGGGTGGATGCATAGGGTCATGGATGGATGCATGGGTGGATGCATAGGGTCATGGATGGATGCATGGGTGGATGCATAGGGTCATGGATGGATGCATGGGTGGATGCATAGGGTCATGGATGGATGCATGGGTGGATGCATAGGGTCATGGATGGATGCATGGGTGGATGCATAGGGTCATGGATGGATGCATGGGTGGATGCATAGGGTCATGGATGGATGCATGGGTGGATGCATAGGGTCATGGATGGATGCATGGGTGGATGCATAGGGTCATGGATGGATGCATGGGTGGATGCATAGGGTCATGGATGGATGCATGGGTGGATGCATAGGGTCATGGATGGATGCATGGGTGGATGCATAGGGTCATGGGTGGATGCATAGGGTCATGGATGGATGCATGGGTGGATGCATAGGGTCATGGATGGATGCATGGGTGGATGCATAGGGTCATGGATGGATGCATGGGTGGATGCATAGGGTCATGGATGGATGCATGGGTGGATGCATAGGGTCATGGATGGATGCATGGGTTTATGGGGAAATGGATACGTGGGTGGTTGTATGGGGACATGGGTGCATGTGGACATGGGCACATGAGTGCATGGGTGCATGGGAAGATGGGTGTGTGGGTGCATGGAGCATGAAGACCTGGGGCATGGATGGCATCTTTGGTACTGTGAGGTCATTGGGATATTGGCATGGTACGCCAAGTCAGGTTGGTTGGGTACACATCATGTTGTGCATGCCGGACTTGACTCAATCTCACAAATAGTGTTAGCCCTCAATCTCACATTTTGTACTTGTACTGTCAAAATCCTCGCTTAGTGTAGTTTGCACTTTGTGTTTGGTTGGGTGTACACCCACATCCCAACCAAACCCAAATGTAATCACCAAGCAATCTCCAAGCCACCAATTGGAGATTGCCTTGGGATTACCCCCAATCTTTAGGGATTGCCCCCGATTCCCTCCCCGTCCATTACCTTGCTCATCTCGGATGTACTTAAGGAGCTTCAAGCTCATTACTAATGTATCTATTCCAAGCTCAGATCTTACAATCAGAGCTACTATTATAGCTTCGTGAACGCTGCACACTTGATGGCTCAAGTTGAGACGCCTCTCGGCCAGCACACCCTTCCTATCAAATTTTCCTACTTGGATATTCCAAGGTTGCTATGCGCCCTTCTATTTCCTTTTCCACAACCAGCGGTGGAGAGACTCTTAAGTAGGATAGGAAGTACAGGTACAAACGTTTAGCTTGAACATATGATTAGCACATGAATGGACACATTGATTCGCACATCAAGTGGCAGATCGTTGGTTGCTGGGTGATGAGGCACCCAGATGCTCATCAGCTCACCTGATGGTTCTCTCTGCTCTTCTACAGGCTCCCCTTGAGGCAGCCCAAAAGATGCTTCACTCTGCTCTTCCACAGGTTCCTCAGCCGCAACAACCTGAATGGCTCATTTCCTCTCTGGATTGCAGAGATGTCCAACATTGGATGGCTGTGAGTGCACTGCAACGATTGTGATTATTTCCCCACTATATGGTCGTGACTACTTCCAATCTTCAACTGTGCTATTGACACGTGCACTACCCCCGTTGTTCCGCAAGGAGACATGCTATATAAGAAGGAAGCAGTGGGTGGAGTGATATATGCACGGCACAGCATTCATTGTATCACGCCGGTCCTTTGCATTGACGACAGTGTGATCTGTGCTGTTCTGCTGCAAACAACCCATGTGTTCATTGCAACCTTGCGTGAAACTTACCTGCACCTATGAGGTTGTGAGTGTGATGCTCTGTGCTCCTCCTCTCGTGTGTTGTGCTGTCTACATGTACCATGTGTGTGCTCTCGTGTGTTGTGCTGTCTACATGTACCATGTGTGTGCTCTCGTGTGTTGTGCTGTCTACATGTACCATGTGTGTGCTCTCGTGTGTTGTGCTGTCTACATGTACCATGTGTGTGCTCTCGTGTGTTGTGCTGTCTACATGTACCATGTGTGTGCTCTCGTGTGTTGTGCTGTCTACATGTACCATGTGTGTGCTCTCGTGTGTTGTGCTGTCTACATGTACCATGTGTGTGCTCTCGTGTGTTGTGCTGTCTACATGTACCATGTGTGTGCTCTCGTGTGTTGTGCTGTCTACATGTACCATGTGTGTGCTCTCGTGTGTTGTGCTGTCTACATGTACCATGTGTGTGCTCTTGTGTTTCACCCTCTATAACACACATCCACATGCAGTGCTGTCCACACACCACCCACATCCTTCCCACGCATTTCTGTCTCCCCACCCTCCTCTTCCCCCCACCCCTCCTGGAAACAGCCTACGGACTGTCTTTGGGGATATGGGGGCACGGGCCATCAATGGAGCTCATCATGTTGTCACTGTTGTTTACCGGATTAGGGTTTGGTTGCTGTCGTATTTGTTCCTCCACACCACATCCGCCCATTCGCACATGCCTTTCACCACATTCATGCGGCTCCTTCCATCGTCTCGGGCGGTGTGTGGTTGTGCGTCCATTGCATTGTAGATACCTCGGTGACAACAATTTCTCAGGCCCAGTGCCTGCTGCTCTTGGCGGCTCTAAAGGCCTCGTCTTTCTGTGAGTGACCTGCTTAGATTGCATTCCTGTGCAGGGATACCATCCCAGGGTTTCCAGCTTGTGCAGCAGACATTTTGTTCTCGAATAATGATCTAGATTTCCAGTTACCTCTTAGTTTGAAAGGTTGGGTGAATGCTCGAACGAATCCTATGCAAGAGCATGCTACGTAGTCTCGATGTATTGGGTGGACTCAGTCAGCTGTGTTTTCTCAACCCCCTGACACGTTGCGTGCGGTGAACTCACATCATCCAGCAGCTCGAGTGTATAACTCACGTTGTGAATTTCATGTTATGGTGTCTAGGTCAAGTTATATTACAAAGAGTAGGTAAACAGCATGAGATATTGCTCAAGGTGTCCAAACCTCGGATGGTGTCCTGCGCAGGATGCAACCTTATATTTGCTGCTAGTTAATTCCATAACTTACCAGAACCAAAGTATATTTGCTTAATATCTTTGCATTTAGAGCATCCCGGCATGCCAAAAACAACAAAAGAAATGTAAAAAAAAAAAAAAAAACCATTATATAAAGTGGTTTTCTCTTAACCCTGGCAACTTCGGCTCAGCTTGACCCCTTGTTCAGGCGGAGTCTGCACTGCACCATTATGTCCTCTTGCACCATCATGCCCTCTTGAACCACCATGCCCTCGTGTACCATCATATCCACTTGCTTTCCCTTTTTCATTGAGGGCATGCATCTCACCTGCATAAGATACATGTGAGACGCATAAGACACATGTGAGACGCATAAGACACATGTGAGACGCATAAGATACATGTGAGACGCATAAGACACACGTGAGACACATAAGACACATGTGAGAAGCATAAGACACATGTGAGACGCATAAGACACACGTGAGACACATAAGACACATGTGAGACGCATAAGACACATGTGAGACGCATAATGTCAACGGGAGTTGTTGTTGGCCCCGTCCTCACTTGGGCGGAGCCGACTTCGTGGTCGGGTGTGAGGAATGAAACCGACCTGCAGCAGTGGGGGAGCTGGTCGACGGGTCTGGTCGACCTGCACGGGGGCCACTGCAAGGGCGCCGACTTTGGGAGGGCGCCAACTTCGGCTGGTCGACTTGGGAGGTCGACCAGTAGAGGGCGTCGACTTGGGTGACGTCGACCAGGGGAAGCCGACTTGGTGTGGTCGGCTGACAGGTGTGTTGGTCGACCTGGAGTTGGTCGACCAGGTGGGTTGTCGACCTGGAGCTGGTCGACCAAGGGTGTGGTCGACCTGGTGTGGTCGACTGAAGGTGGTCGTCGACTTGGGAGGTCGACGGACACACGAGGAAGCAGCTGGTCGACGTTGTGGTTGCCTGGTCGACCAGGTTACCTGGGTGACGAGGTTCTGCGAAGGAGTGCGACGGTTGCCCAGGTGGTATTGGCGAGATCGACCTCGGTGGTGGTATCCCGAGGTCGACGTGGCTGATCAGGTGCAATCGTCAGCACGAGGACGACTTGGTGTGTGTGTTGTGCAGGTGACAAGGCACTGCACGCCAATCATCTGCGAGCACCTGCGAAGTAGGTGCACTGCTGTTCTGCAGGAGCAACGCTGGCACGCCGTCGACCTGCAGCGTTGGCACGCCGTCGACTTTGCACTGCTGGAGCGCGGTCGACCAAGTCGTGCTGGAGCGCGGTCGACCGTGCTGCGCTGGCAGTCGACCTGCTTGCATGCTAGCTCTGATGTAGCCTTGTCTTGCCAACTTTGTTGTACCATTGTTCAAAACTTTTCCTAGTGGAACTATTGCCAATTCTCCACGTGAACTAGCAAGTAGTGTGAGCACTTGGAAACGACTAAGGAACGAACGAACGCAGAGATCCCTCCTACCCCGTGCCTAGCCCGTAGTCTAGCTCCCGTTGAAAGAGTTATCTTCGCATGGTGCTGTGAGCGTGGACGGCACACGACTTACCCCTTCAGTCAGGTCGACGTAGTGGTCACTTACCTAATTCGTGTTTGTAGGCCGGCAGCTGTGCGGTAGTCACTATGGTAGGCGCCGTAGGTGACGCAGGAGTGGTGGACACCCTGGAGGCACGGCTGGAGGACGCGAGGAGACGCCATGAGGCCAACGAATACGGGCCAAACCTACCGTTGGCGGTCATCGAGGCAGGCATCCGCTCGGTGTGGGCGGAAGAGCACCCTGCTCGACCAGCTTCTCCTCGACCGGTGAACAACGAGGGCGGCGTCGACGTGGGAGTCAACGTCAGTGGTGACCAAGTCGGCAGCAGTGCGGGAGGCACGTCAAGGCAGCGAGGTGTGATACACGCCGATGAAGTCGACGGCGTTCAGGGGCGAGGGATGCGGTCGTCGGCGGCTGGAGGCACCTCACAAGGCGACGTTAGAGGTCGACGAAGCAGTTTGTCGCCGATGTCGGCGACCCACGTGACAGCGGGCGGGATTGCACCGAGCTACGGCTACTTCAAGTTTACGCCGGACAGGATCTCAGTCACCCCCCTGCTTGTTGGTCGACCTGATATCCTCACCTGGAAGGAAGCCATCGAGCCCCAGCTGGAGATGGCCGGGCTGATCGGCTTCGCCAGGGGCACTGTGGCGACGCCGGAGGAACACTACCCCGACTTACGTGCGGAGTTTCGCGCTGTGCAGTTGCTGACCTTCACGGTCATCTCACGGTGCTGCTCGCCGGGCGTGCAGATCGCCTTGAAGTCGTGCAGGGAGTACCTCGACGCCGGCCACCGGGCATGGCACTTCATTGAGTCGACGTACCAGGTCACCGACGACCTGTACATCGGCCAGCTTGAGGAGCAGCTGTCGCACATACGGATGGGCGAAGAGGAGACGGCGACTAACTACTGCAACCGGGCTCGGCGAATTCTCGCCACCATGAGGATGGCCGGCGTGCACTACTCGACGGCGTCGTACCTCATGCACGTCATCAAAGGGCTTACGAGCAAGTACAACCTGCTGAAACGACTGTCGTTGGCGCCGAGTACTAGGGCCACACTCAACGAGGATTCTCTTACCTCGTACATCCTGCAGGATGAGGCGATGCAGGAAGCTGAGCGGCCCTCGGAGCTCCTTGCGCAGGTGAACTACGTCGCCCCGGTGAAGCAAGGTAGTCGACCTGGGCAGCGTGGGCAGTCTAGCAGCGGAAGTAGCAGTGGCTGGAAGTCGACCAAGGACGCCGACAAGAAGTAGTCGGCCAAAGATAGCGGTCGTGGAGGAAGAAGTCGACGTCGGGAGTGCTGGCTGTGCGGCGACCCCGGCCACCTCTCCTTTGAGTGCCCCGACCGCAGTGACTCTGACGACGACGCCGCCAAGGGAGGCCGCGGGAGGTCTGGCAGCCGTCGCCCCCGTCGAGGCAGAAACCAGCCGCGCAAGGTGAAGCAGTCGACCAAGTCGTCGAACTCGGCGAAGGACGCCGACTCCTCTGCTGGCGGCAAAGGGCGAGACGACAAGGAGGCGTCGTGCTCGCTGGTCGGCGTCGTGGAGCCGATCGTCTCGTTGGCGCCGGAGGCTGGCGATTACTTCCAGGCGATGGCGGCAGCCGTGCAGGCAAACCCGGCAATAGTTCTGCTCGATAGTGGTTGCTCCCACCACTTGATGGGGACGAAGGAAGTCTTCGTCGACCTGCAGCCGAGCGGTGACGTGAAGCACGTGCGTGGCTTCAACGGGGCTCTGCAGGACGTCCAGGGTCGGGGCACGGTCGCCTTGCAAGGGAAGGCCGGGAAGCAGGTGCTGATCCCCGACGTGCTCTACGTCCCGGGCGTGCACGCGAACGTGCTGTCGGCTGGCCAGCTGAAGGAGAACGGTGTGAGGCTGCAGGAGGACGGCGACGAGATGCTTCTCGTCTCGGCGGCAGGGGACGTCCTTGGCAGGGCGTCCTACACTGGCCGGGTCCTCTGCACCGACCTGCGTCCTTGCTCGGCGAAGTCGACGTCGCCCATGACGGATGTGGTGGCCCTGAGGGCGATAATCTCGGCGACGAAGTCGACCCCGGACAGACTACATGCGAGGCTTGCGCACGTCGCCATGGACACCATCCGGAGCTCGGCGAAGCACGAGGTCGCCATTGGGCTGGACCTCAAGTCGACGTCTGGCACTGACTCACCGTGTGTCTCGTTTGTCGGCGGGAAGCTGGCACGACACACCTTCCCCGACCAAGGCTCCGACGCCGACGACGTGCTGGTAGTCGTGCACATTGACCTGTGTGGGCCGTTCCGCGTAGCTGCCAAGGACAGCAGCCTTTACTTCTTGCTGCTAAAGGACCGCAAGACCCGCTACGTGTGGGTGAGGCCGGTCGCCAAGAAGTCGGATGCGCTGCAGGAATTCGTGCAGTGGCTGGCGTTTGCTGAGCGACAGACGAAGAAGTCGGTGTTGATGCTGCGCTCTGACCGGGTAGGGGAGTTCCTCGGGAAGCAGTTCACCGACTTCGCGAACGGCAAGGGAATAGTCCACGACCTGACCTGCCCCTACACCCCGCAACAAAACGGCATGGCAGAGCGGGAGATGAGGACGGTAATGGAGTCGGTGCGGACGATGCTGCTGCACATGGGCGTGCAGCACCACTGGTGGCACCTTGCTATACGGCAGGCCGTCTGGGTCCGCAACTGTCTGGAGAGGTCGACGTTGCCACCGGGGACGACGCCATACCAGCTGCTGACCGGGAAGAAGCCCGACTTGTCGCTGGCACGGGTGTGGGGCTGCATGGCGCAGTTCCTAGTCCCCGAACAGCAGCGTGGTGGAAAGCTGAAGCCGAAGGCCAGGTGGGGCTTTCACCTCGGCGTGTCGGAGGAGAGCAAGGGCTGGGAGCTCCTCGACATCGTCGACAACCGGGTGGTCACCACGTCGGACGTGGTGTTCTACGAGAACATGTCGTTGGAGGTGTGGAAGTCGGAGCACGGGCCGGCGTCAGGACGGACGTCGACCACCCCGCCGAAGGACACCTCGACGGCGACGCTGCCTCTGCTCGCCGAGGTCGGTGAGCTTTCTGATGAGGACGCCGAGGTCGTCCGTCCTCCTTCCCCTCACCCTGCACCCCCTGCCCCTCCCCTCGTGGCCGACCTGCGTGGGCTGACTCCCATGTCGGCCTCCGGCGATGAGGGGAGCAGTGGGGCGTCGCCTGTGGCGCCGGCCTAGAGCATCGCCGGTGGCCGACGTGACGCCCAGCAAGTCGACATGAGAGTGAGGTCGACGCCGGCAGGAGAAGAGCAGGCCGAGGTAAAGCCGACGGTGGTGAAGTCGGCGAAGGGGGCAGCGGCAAGGCACCAACCGACAGGGGAGCAGGCAGCAGCCAAGTCGACCAAAGAGCAGTCGGCGACAGGTCAGTCGGCAGGGGAGCCGACCACAGGGGAGAAGTCGGCAGGGACGCCGGCTATGGTGCAGCAGGATGCTGAGGGCAGTGACGCCGGCGAGGAGGAAACTGAGCAGACGGACGCCGAGGAGTCCACCGACAGCAACGTGGTGGAAGTCGAACCACGGAAGGCATGCCGACTTCGGAGGCCGCCTGACTTCTTCGTCCCGGCTGCCTTCACCACGGTGTACGACGAGGTCGACGACGACCTGCTGTACGACGACGCCGAGGAGGACGACGACTTGCCAGAGCTCGACCCCGACATGCACGCCGACCCCGAGCACCGCTAGGACATCTCGACGATGACGGTGAAGGAGGCCTTGGCAAGCTGGAAGAGCAAGGCGGTGAAGGCCGCCATGGAGGAGGAAATTCGCAGCCTCATCAGCATGGGAACTTGGGAGCTGGTCGAACGCCCACCTGGGGTGAACATCATGAAGAACCGGTGGGTGTTGACGACGAAGTACCGCATCGACGACACCGTCGAGCGCGAGAAGGCGAGGCTGGTCGTGAAGGGCTTCACACAGGTGTATGGCACCGACTACGACGAGACGTACGCGCCGGTGAGCAGCTATGTCACGCTGAGGATCTTCCTCAGCATCGTCGCCGTGCTCAACCTCAACCTGATGCAGCTCGACATGAAAAACGCCTTCCTGCAGAGCAAGCTCGACCGGGTGCTCTACATGTACCAGCCGGACCACTTCAGCGACGGGACCGGCCGGGTGTGTAAGTTGCTGAAGAGCCTGTATGGGCTGAAGCAGTCGCCGCTGCTGTGGTACAAGGCACTCAACGACGTTCTGGTCGGCGCCGGGTAGAAGAAGAGTCAGGTCGACGAGACTCTCTACTTCAAGGTCGGTGATGACGAGGTAGCCTGCTGGGTGCTGGTCTACGTCGACGACCTGCTCGCCGCCAGCAATAGTGCCGAGATGCTGAAGGAGCTGTTGGAGGCCGCCTTCGAGCTGAGGGAGATCTCGCCGGTGCAGAAGTACCTCGGGCTGGAGATCGTGCGCGACAGGTCGGCGAGGAAGCTGTGGCTCCACCAGCAAGGCTATGCAGACAAGCTGCGTAGGCGTTTTCTCGACGAGGAGCAGACTGGGCGCACCCCGAAGACGCCGGTCTCGGTCGACGCCTATGCCGAGCTCACCTTCGACGACGAAGAGGCACAGGAGCGCCAGGAAGAGGAGTACCGGCAAAAGGTCGGCTCGCTGCAGTTTGCGGCGACAACGACGAGGCCGGATATCGCCTTTGCCTGCAGCAAGCTGGGGATCGGCCTCACGGTGAGGAGCGACCAGCACAGGCACGAGGTCGACCGCTGCCTCGCCTACCTCGCCAACACCCGTGACACCGCCCTGGAGTTTGGCGGTGGACTTGAGTCGCTGAAGCTGGTCGGCTACATGGAGGCCGACGACGCCGGCGACAAGCAGAACCGGACGAGCACGGGGGCCTACGTGTTCGTCTACGGAGGGGCCGCAGTCTCCTGGTCGAGCCAGCGCATCAAGTGCGCGACGCTGTCGTCGACCGAGTCGGAGTACGTGGCGGCAACAGAAGCCGGCAAGGAGGGACGTCGACTTCGTTTTCTTCTTGCATAATTCCAGCAGCTGGACGTCGGGACGCCGACTGTCCTTCGGGTGGACAACAAGTCGGCCATCACGGTCGCAGAGGGCATGGGGTTGACGGGCAACCTCAAGCACATGGAGCGGCGACAAGCCTGGCTGCAACACATGGTGAAGCGCGGGAAGTTTTCGCTGAGGTACATCCCGACTGCTGATCAGCCAGTCGATCTCCTGACGAAGGCGCTGCACTACCCGGTCTTCAACCGGTGCTCTGTTGAATCGGCCAAGAGCGCCTGGTCGACGTGGGCGACGGTGACAGCGACGTGCAGCAGTAGGTGCCATGCCCTCTTGCATGGCTGGTGCGGTGACAGGCGTGCTGTGTGTTGGGTGCACGCCGACGAGCTATTCTCCGAGCAGTGCTGCTGTGTGGGCTGGGTGCCCAAGCGTGAACGCGGCAGGGGAGTGTCAATGGGAGTTGTTGTTGGCCCCGTCCTCACTTGGGCGGAGCCGACTTCGTGGTCGGGTGTGAGGAATGAAACCGACCTGCAGCAGTGGGGGAGCTGGTCGACGGGTCTGGTCGACCTGCACGGGGGCCACTGCAAGGGCGCCGACTTTGGGAGGGCGCCAACTTCGGCTGGTCGACTTGGGAGGTCGACCAGTAGAAGGCGTCGACTTGGGTGACGTCGACCAGGGGAAGCCGACTTGGTGTGGTCGGCTGACAGGTGTGCTGGTCGACCTGGAGTTGGTCGACCAGGTGGGTTGTCGACCTGGAGCTGGTCGACCAAGGGTGTGGTCGACCTGGTGTGGTCGACTGAAGGTGGTCGTCGACTTGGGAGGTCGACGGACACACGAGGAAGCAGCTGGTCGACGTGGTGGTTGCCTGGTCGACCAGGTTACCTGGGTGACGAGGTTCTGCGAAGGAGTGCGACGGTCGCCCAGGTGGTATTGGCGAGATCGACCTCGGTGGTGGTATCCCGAGGTCGACGTGGCTGATCAGGTGCAATCGTCAGCACAAGGACGACTTGGTGTGTGTGTTGTGCAGGTGACAAGGCACTGCACGCCAATCATTTGCGAGCACCTGCGAAGTAGGTGCACTGCTGTTCTGCAGGAGCAACGCTGGCACGCCGTCGACCTGCAGCGTTGGCATGCCGTCGACTTTGCACTGCTGGAGCGCGGTCGACCAAGTCGTGCTGGAGCGCGGTCGACCGTGCTGCGCTGGCAGTCGACCTGCTTGCATGCTAGCTCTGATGTAGCCTTGTCTTGCCAACTTTGTTGTACCATTGTTCAAAACTTTTCATAGTGGAACTCTTGCCAATTCTCCCCGTGAACTAGCAAGTAGTGTGAGCACTTGGAAACGACTAAGGAACGAACGAACGCAGAGATCCCTCCTACCCCGTGCCTAACCCGTAGTCTAGCTCCCGTTGAAAGAGTTATCTTCGAACATAAGACACATGTGAGACGCATAATACACATCATACAGATCTGATGTCCTTTTCCTGTGTTCTCATCATGCCTTGGGACTCCTGTTTGATGCGTTTGATAACCCTCCACCCTGTTTCACCCCCTCCATCCACCATTCCCTTCAATCCAACAGTGAAATGTCAGATTCTGGCCTCACTTGCCCCCCGGATGCTTCCAGCTGTGTGGTTCGGCAGATCAACTACAGCGCATTCTGCCAAGACTGCAAGGCCTTCTGTGCCACGTGCACAAGTGATAAATGTGAGTTTTCCGGTTGCGACATTGCAGTTTTTGAGAATTCTCAGAATCCGCTGTAGCTGCACGAGCCTCTGTGATGGTGACATTTAAGGCGCCTCAATATATACCACGTGCCTCGAGTTTAGAAGAGGTGCAGGTGAGATGCTTGGGGCACGGAGGTGACTGTTGAGTCGAACCAACGGGTGCTTCTCCTATGACTATGAAAGCTTCTTTACCACGTGTGCAAGTCAAAACAAAGGTGAGCTGCTTGGATCGTTGCGAGTAAAAGAAATTGTCACGGTCAATGCGTTAGATTCCATGCTCATGGGGTAGCTGATTACCTGCACACTTTCCGGTCAATAGAACTAGCCTTTGCTATCAAGGATAAGTCTTTTTAGTCAACGCAAAGTCGTGCCAGTTAATTCCAAGTCTCACTAATTATTGCTAAGTCATACCAGCCAATGCCAACCCCACTAAATGATGCTAAGTAAGTCATGAGAGCCAATGCCATCCCCACTCATCAATGCTAAGTCATGCCATTCAATGCCATCCCCATTAATTAATGCTAAGTCAAGCCAATGCCATCCCCATTAATTAATGCAAAGTCATGCCAGCCAATGCCAACCCCACTAAGTAATGCTAAGGCATGCCAGCCAATAAAGCTAAGTCATGCCAGTCAATGCTAAGTTGTGCCAGTCAAAGCGACCTTGTGCTGGGCAACACCAAGTTGTGCCAGTTATTCCATTCGTGCCTTCCAGCTTCATGCGTGCAGAGCAGGGTCACTATTTTCACCACGTGCTCTGGTGCTTCAATACTTAGAGCGTGTTCCTACGGCCTCTAGTCAGGCTGGGCCCTTGTCAGACTTGGTCATTCGAGCGATTTCGTTATTAACACCGTTTTTCAGACTTCAAAACAAACGGTGCTGTGCGATGAATTGGTCACGCGAAACCTATCACACGTGCTGTTTCGGCGAGCCAGGTCAGTTATTCGCGCAGAGTTGTTTCTCACACGTGAGAACCAGGGACTTACTCGCAAGGGAGAACGAACCCCGTTTTATCGGGTATGAAGCAGACGAATATTTTACAGCCACCAAGCGCACGTTTCGGTCGTTTGTAATTTGTCAGGACTCAGGAAACAATTCTACCTTTGCAACCTTTCGGAACGGGAGCGCTGCGCAGTGCCACGTCAGCCCACTCATTGTGTCGCGCACTTCGCCAAGCATCGAAAATAAACAAATAAAAAGTAGGGTTAAGCCGGAATATTAGTGTTTGAGGCGAGTCTGACAAGAGGCCAGCATGACTAGAGGCCGTAGGAACACGCTCTTATAATTCTGGTGCTTCGATACTTATGGTTCTGGTGCTTCAATGCTTGTGAGTCTGGTGTGCCGGTGCATGTGTCCCTCCAAAGCAGCCCCACCCCCATCACCACTCGTGGCCTCCCCTCCACCGTCCCCATCACCCAATCAAACCCTCAACGCATCCTCCTCCTCCTCACCCTCCTCCACCTCACTCGCTCCCTCCTCCCAATCCGGCCTGTCAGTGGGGGCTGTCATTGGCGTTGTGACAGCAGCCGTTCTGCTCTTGCTTCTCCTGCTCGCCTTAGCTTGGTGGCTTGCCGTCCACTACAAGATTTCCACAAGAGGTAGGCATGTTACATGTTTGCGTTGTATCGTGGGAGCACAGACAGTTGTGTGAGAACCACCTCAATTCTGTCAATTTCAGCAACAAGCAGCATATCAACTCCATAACTTCGTTTCACATAACTCGCAAAGCCGCTGTGTTCCCGCCTGTGTTACTTCTCACAAAGCGAAACCAAACAAAAGAAAAAAAAAAAAAAAAAAAAAAAACCACCATATTATACATATTTTCTACAGACTCCCCCAGCCCGCAATGAGGGAACGCAACGACACCGTGCCGACGGTACTCCCTGGCCGTTGTGGCTCGTGCAACCAACAGCTGGTCCAAGGAGTGCCTGCTGGGGTCGGGGTCATACGGAGACGTGTACCGCGGGGTGTGCCCTGAGGATGGCACCACGCTGTGGGCCGTGAAGCGTGCCAAAGTCATCACTGCCGACTTCCACAGAGAGGTGGGCAAACACCGTTGAGAATTCTCAAAAAGAGATTCTAGATGGGCAAGATCATGATCATCACCACCAACTTCCACTGAGATGTGGGACAATGCCGGTGCGAGTGTTTTTGGGTGCTTGAAGGTAGACTCCTTTGGAGGCGTGTACCACATGGGTTGTATCCTGACTTGCTGCATGCCATGGTAAACTGGGGAGGGAATGTTGTTGCAACTTCTCAACCAATTTGGATTGTGAGATTAGATATATATATATTATATATATATATATGTATTTTTTTTTTCTTCTTCGTTCGGCCTATTTGCTATCGATTATTCTTGTATGTATTCTCATATTCTATGAGTAACACACTGCTGAAATTAGAGTGAAGCGAGTCTGTTCAATGGCAATGTACGAGAAACCAAGATGCTCGTACATTACACCACCATCTGCCTATTAGTGCTGCATTGTGTCAGCATACCCATCCTTCCCTGCCTCTCTTCCCTCGGTTCATCACAGGTGGCGCAGATGGCAACGAAGCACCATCCGAATCTGGTGCGGCTGCTGGGGTATGCAGTGGGAGGCCATGTGAACACGCGGGTGGAGAACATTCTCGTCTACGAGTTCATCGCCAATGGCGACCTGCGCACGTGGATTGGCCCAGGTACTATCCGGTCGTTTTTTGTATGTTGTTTCGACCATGCAGTTGTGTGGATAAGTAAATGCAGAAAAATAAATTCAGGCTCGAAGTAGGTGTGCCGAGGCAGGGAGGTCCATCGCGACTCAAGAGCTGGGTCCGGCCCTTGCACATACCTGATTTGCAATAGCCAGCAGATGAAAAACTCCAATGCATGCCTTTGGTGGGTTTGAAGTGCCAATCACACTGATGCCATCGGCAAGTTTACGACTCCAATGCTGCTTTTCTCCAACGCTGCTTTTCTCTTATGCAGATTTTCTTTAATGTTGTTCTCCTCCAATGTTGCCTTGCCTCTGCTCTACCATTCTCCAGATGCACCCACAAGTTTGACTCTGCAGCAGCGGGTGGGCATCTTACTAGGGGTGGCGCGTGGGTTGGAGTATCTCCACAGCTTTGGCCTTGTGCATCGGGACATCAAGCCAGCCAACATCCTCATTGACGCCCACATGCAGGTGCGGTGCGGTGCGGTGCGGTGATGAGGTGGGATGATTACATGTTGGCAAGGCACTTGATTCTTCACATGCAGGTGCGGTGTGGTGCAGTGCTGTGTTCCAGAAGACTCGTCCTGCGTCTAGGACGCATTGCGTCTAGACGCTGCGTCCAGACGCAGGACGCAGGACGCACCCAGCGTCTTCTGCAACACAGGTGCAGTGATGAGGCTGGATGATTAGATGTTGGCAAGACACTTGCTTTACATGCTGGTACAGTGATAAGGCGTTTATGCTTCTTCCATTCACTTTGGGATTAGACAACGAGGCTTTTTGCGAGGAAATAGCACGGGCCAGTATCGAAAGGAGTGCAGGTGTGGTGGTAAGGTGTTACAACCATCTTTGAATCATATCAATCCACACCCCCAATCAGATAACGCCATCCTGCCTGAGTCAGATGAGACCATGTTGCCCCAATCCTCCTCCGCCTCTCCTCTTGCCTGCCGTGCCCGACCTTCCCCAGGCGAAGGTGGCAGACTTTGGGCTTGTGCACGTGGGGGAGGGCACAGCAGCGGGCACGGCAACGGGCTTCACGCGAGTGTTGGGAACGGTGGGCTATGTGGACCCTGCTTACTCCCTCACGCACAACGCCACCACCACTGCTGACGTTTATAGGTGTGGTGCAGATTCAAATGCCACTTTTTAAGCCAAGTTGGATTCGTAATCCAAGGAAAGTGACGCCACCACCGTCACTGGTGTGCAAATACACAATGCACCCGTGATGTGCAAACAGGGTAACGTGTGTGATATCACATCCTCCGTTCCGATCATCGGCGTGGAACCACATCCCCTGCTTTGCCGAATGTACGATCAATGAACGAATGAGATACAAAGGAGTTGAGGCTTTATGCGCGTTCCAACCTCCCTAAACAACTAGTTTTTTATTTTCATCTATTGCCATCTGCCCCCACTTGCATTCTTTCCTCTCATTGTCAGATGGCGTTTGGCAATGCTTCTTTCCCATGGCTTTTCGAGCGTATAGCATGACCGGATCCTTGCCTCCCTGCTCCGTTTCGTGTTTCACATATGAGTGTGCTTCGTGGTGCAGCTTTGGCATCATGCTGGTAACTCTTTCTGGCAGAGGAGCCACCATCAATGCAACAAGCCTTTGTGACCAAGAGCTCATCTCCGGGGAGCTAAACCCGAAACCCGAAACCCGAAAACCTAAATCCTTGTTTGTCGTTGGATGTGTGTTGCGGTGCAGCTTTGGAGTTCTCATGCTGGTGATGCTGTCAGGCAGAGGAGCCACCATCAGTGCGATGAGCCCATCCAATGAGTCGTGCGCTTGTGCCAGCCACGAGCCAATCTCCATCTCCAAATGGGTGCGGTTGCTATTCCCGCTTCTGCCCGTCAATGTCTGCACTGTTTTTTTTTTTCGTGCTCTAACCAAAACTGTTTACGCATGTACTCATCAGGATTCCCTTCACCTGTTGTACCCACAGCATGTGTTTCCCGCCCCTGGCATGTGTTTCCCACCCCTGTCGTGTGTTTCCTGCCCATATCATGCATTCTCCCACTCCTGTCATGTCTGTCCTGCCCCATATTACAGGCAACTGGTCTCATGGCGGAAGGGAAGACATCACCCCTCAGGGACCCGCGCATGGAAGCACCAGAGGACATCACCATACGCCTTGCCCACCTCGCTGTCACCTGCACTGCTATGCCCACCGCCTCCCGCCCCTCCATGTCCCGAGTGGCCCAATACCTTGAAATTATACGAGAGGAGGCGGGAGGGGGGGATGCGAGAGTGAGTGCTGCAGCGAGGGTTGACGAGAAGCTGTCGAGCCAGCGGTTACGGAGGAGCATGGAGGAGGACCTTGCGTTGCTGAATGAGCAAGTCATGCATGAGGGCGACGCAACGGCTATCTCTGTACAGACATGATGGCTGGTGGAATAGCTTGAAGCTTGTGAAAGAACACTTTGATTCCATGATTGGGTTTTTATCAAGTGTGTACAGTGTGTGTCTCCAAATGGTTCAAGGCAAGCATTTGGTTCTTATGCCATTCTGTGCCACAAGCGTGCAGCCCCAGCCACTCAGCCCATCCTATTCTTTACGTTTAATTATCATTCGTTTTCAAGAGAAGGAATCTATTCCCAGCCTTGGAGAATGATGCATATGGCCCACCCATTTTACTGGAAACGGGAATGGGCGGGACACGGGGAGATGAAAACGTTGGTAGTTGGTGATCCTGAGCTGACAACATAAACAGGTACGGAGGGATGAGTAGGCTGAGGAAGATGTTACTATTGAAACGTACAGATGGCTACTGAACTACCATAATGCCCCGGATAAAAGACCCGGGGGTATTATAAGAATCCCACCCCCAAAACAGGGAAGGGGGGGTCTTAACAGATGGCACATATTTTATCATAAGGTCATATATATTACTTGTGTTTTGGAAGCCAGACATGTGAATAGTATGTGCTCCGTTTTTAGCGTCCTTCAATGGTACGTCACCCAGCAATCACGCTGGGTGCCTTCTCCCATTGGTCTCAAAACGTGGACACCACATCAGAATCTTGCGGGACCCAGCGCACCAATGCATTGCCACCTCGTCCTTCACACCTCATGCACGCTTCGAACCATGGCACATCCTCCTTTCGAGGTTGCGTTTCACCTCATGCTCCTCCAGACCCTTCTCTGAGGCACGATTCCTTGCTGTGCTCAGCAGGCTCTCAGAGAGGGTATTATCGGTAGGATGCATGTTAAAACCTGGTAAATGTTAGAGGATGCTCCTGTTTAGAGACTAGTGTTTCGCCATGGTAACGTTACCCGATGCTGGGACGTCGGCTCGCCGACGCCGACGCCGCCGTGTCATACGCGATCCCCCTGTTGCTAGGCCGTCGCCTAGGCCCGTCATGCCAACGCCTACTGCATCTTCAAGCGACGCTACAGAGTGTGAGTGCAGCGTAGCCCCCCCCCCCCGTCCGTTGCCGCAGGTGAAGGTTCCAGTATTTCCGCAAGCCAAGGAGACCCCAGGGGAAGAAGAGGCGGGTACAGGATGCAGACCCCCCATCGCCTCGTCACCAAATTACAAAGAAGGCACGGCGCGCCCGTTGAGGGAAAGCTGTACTGGCTGGTGATCCTAGACGAGCAGCTTGAAAGAGTGCCTGGGTGTCGCGGCTGGGTGTCGCGAACGCCTCAGTGGTGCAGGGCGAAGCCCAAGTGGTCGATGATGGAGAGGGCAGCCTACCGCAAGTTCCTTTCACATCGCGGGAAAGAACTTCCAGTCTCGATAAGCCTGCTGAAGAAGTGGGCGACAAGCTTCATGAAGCATCGCCACCCCGGAGAGAAGTGGCGCTCGTCCCATCATTGGACAAAGGGGTTCTGCAAGTGCTGGTAGGGGTTCTGCAAGTGCTGGTCCTTGGCGAGGCGTGTGAAGACGAAGATCGGCCAGAAGCTTGCTCCAGGTAAGAATTTTCACTCATTCTGATCGCTCTCTTGTGAAAAAATGCAGCCACTGACTCGTTCTTTACCATTGTGCCGCAGATTGCGCGAAGAAGTGTGAAACCTTATGGGAATGCGTGCGGCAAATGCGCGTGCTCAACTCCTACCCCCTCAATATGAACGTGAACATGGATCAAACACCTCTGTTCCTTGAGATGCCTGTTGAGCGCACCCTCAAGATGAAAGGCGCGCGTACTGTGCACGTGCGCACCGCGGGGTACGAAAAGTAGCGCCTCACTATCATGCTGGCGGTGACGGCGGGCGGCTTGAATTCCCTCCGTTTGTCGTCTTCAAATGGAAGACTCCGAATTTTCCAACGGATCCTCCTCAGCATCGTCCGAGTCTGCAGCCATGTTGAGCTTGTCTTCCGCCGAAAGACCGGACGAGCCATCAGCATTGTTGTCAACATGAGCTGTCATAACCACTTCCTCATCTTTCGTGCCGTCATCCGTTGTGATCGCAGAGTCCATAACATTGGAGTCAGGCACCGGTGGGTCCACAATGACCTTGCAAGATCCCTTAGGCGACATTGTGCAGAGATGAAGAAGAGAAGGCTCAGGCGACGATGAGAGAGCCGTAGTGAACAATGATGCGGAGACTCTTGTGATGGCTTGCTGAAGTAGTAAAGCAACACTGTAGGCAAACCAGAAATCCAGTTACAAGTGTTGAGTCTCCGAGGTGGAGATCCCGGAGGTAGATGATCTCAGGGTCATAATGTTGGGTGCAGATATTTATTTTTGCACGTCAACCAACCGCCTGGATCGCATTTTGCATTTTTTGTGTGTGCGCATTTTCATTTTCATTTTGTGATGTTCTGTGCGCATTTTCATTTGCATTTTGTGTGTTTCATTCATTCGTAATTGCATTTTGTGTTACTGCATTTTCATTTGCGTTTTCACTGTTCTCATAAAGCGCTCAAATGAGCCTCTCATGAAGCGCTCAAATGAGTCTCTAATGTCATGCTCAAATGAAGACCCAATGGAGCTCAAATGAAGCTCGCATGGGACTTAAATGTTTCATGCGAGGCTCATACGAGCGACCCATGAAAGTCCCATGAGCCTCGATTTTTTCATGCGAGGCTAATTGGGGTCTCATGCGAGCGAGTGGTGTATCTGGGGGGGCTCGAATGTTTGACTCGTCAAGGGGGTGCCTTGACTGTTTTCGCGCTGGTCAAAAGCGCGAAAGTCAAGACCCACGCGCTGGTCCTGGCACGCGCGTGTGGCCCCTCAGGGCTCGGGCGTGTGCCGCGCACTGTTGCGAGAGTTCTGTATAGCACGATCGCATCAAGACAGGGCACGTTTCGGCCCTGTCCCGTTGTGTACACGCGCATGATTTCGATCATGGCGCGCTGTACAGCACGACCGAGAAAAAATCTCGGTCGTGCGTGTGGCACGAGGGGGTGCTAGGAATTTACAGTTGAAAAACTGTTTTCCGAGTTGACTCACGGGACGGGAAACTTCTCGCGAATGTCACGCCGCTTTGCGTGATCATTTCGCCACAGGTACAAAACGGTTACTCCGTTTTTCAAACGGTAAAAACCATTATATAACTGTGAGCTCGCATGAAGACGTTGGAGCTACATTGGAGCCACATGCGAGTCTCATGAGTGCACACATTTGAGTCAGCAGGGACAACTGTTACAAGTGCAATTTGAAGACAGTTTTTGACAACAGGAGGATATAGCCAAATGCTCAAGGAGTTGTGCAACCGTTTTCAAAATACAGCGTGGCAAAATCCTGCGAGCCAGTTAAACAACTGTTTTCTACTTGCTCCTGCCTGTGCGTAGAATTTATATAAATGCGTGCTTGTACCTGTCGAAATCAATCCAAATGCATTCGCGTCTTTTTTCAAGCTTGAATTCTACTACTTCGTATTGACGAGAGTAGAAACGATCACGGTGCTGCCAAAACTCTGCTCGACCAGTTTACTTGTTCTATACGCATAAGCAAGGCATAACTAATCACATGCGTTTTTATTACGCCCTTCGCTAGGTGGTGACAAGCTGTCACACTCGAAGGGTTGCAAAGCTTTGTTTGTAGCTCCAGTTTAATCGCTACCGCATAACGTTATATCAGTCAACACATAACATAACCATCTTCTAGGAGTGTAGAACAATAACTTAAAGAGCTAGCCCAATAGCTTGGATGTCTGGGAACACCTTGGGATCTGACTCGGAGCTCGAGGAACCCAGGAAAACACGACAGTGTTAACGGAACAACCCGATAACAAGAAAGGTATGATGCCCGTTGTGAGGGCACAAAAATTGTACCAATCTCCGCGCCGAGGTGAGCTGATTCCGAAACTGTCTACGTTACAGCGAGTTGCATAGAGACCTCTTCGAGCGAATGAGTTAAGCGTCGCGGTAGAATCCATGGCGGTAGAATCCGTCACCAAAGAATCCATTGAACGAGTTACTGGTTTTTTATGTCGCTTCGGCAGAATCGCCACACTTTGCTTGATAAGGGAGGGTAGGGGGGGGGGGAAGAACTAGGGCGGTCAAGAGGCTTTATAAGCTGTTCAGTGAAATACTCGCTAATGAAATAGCTACACGGGACCATCAGTGTGGCCTAAAACATTACCCTTTAGAATCAGGGAAAATCCAATCTAAAACTAAAAAAAAACATGAGCCATCAGTGTGACATACAAATTTCACCTTGATAATCAGTGTATCTAGGTAATTTACACTGATCAAATAAGCCATGCTGCCCAGCTCCACATCGCGTACAATGCCAACCGTTCTTCGCCCGTTACAATGAACAGAGCTTTTGCTAATTTTGCCAAACCATGCATCACTGGCCTGGCCCGAGTCGGCCTACGCTTCAAGACTAGCTTGAACCTCGCTGTCAGCATCGCACTAGCTAGCTCGCACGCACCACATTACCGTTTGCATGTTTCGCTTATAAGTATTCGCTCATACTTTGTACTCGTTTTGACAACTTAGTGCAATCCTCGCTACCTCGCTACATTGCACCCGTAACACTTGGCTATCGGAGCCACTTTCCTTTTCGGACCGTGCATTCAACAACCAGCAGAAGCAAACTTTTGATTTTTTTACTCGAAGGGACTCACACCCCTTAGCGTACTAGGAGTCGCTGTCCTCGCACTCTCTCGTAAGTGCGTGCAGCCACGACTGCGCCTAGCACTTAGACCGGCCGCCGTCCTTCAACATGGGAGACCGCATTGACATTGCGACACTCACGCAGGAGCGCCTGGATGAGCTGACGCACCAACTGCGAGAAAGCACCGAGGAAATTGCGGCGCTAACGACAGAACGCACGTCGCTACAGAACGACATTGTGCGGGCGCAACAAGCAAAATCACAAACCCATGGAACAGCAGCAGAAGGAGCACCATCCGCCGCCCAACACGAAGAGTGTGGGACAACCCTCGAGCGCTGCTAGTGATGGCGTCGCACGCAACGATGTCCGCGACGACCACGGGACAACACACCCCGAGACGACGAATGCGGCTGGGAGTCAACATTCCGATGCCAATCGACGAATCGGCACTCCCTTCACCAATGTCGCTCAAGCCGCAGCGTCCGCCTTGCTTCGACCTAAGTCAACGGGGTGGTCCGATGGTTCAGGCGTGGATTTTCATGATGAACTTCTTCTTTGACGCAAACTACGTCTCGTCGGACGCGGCAAAATTCCAATACGTCGTGTCGTTATTGCGAGGACCCGCCATGGATTGGTGGCGCATCATCGTCATGAAGCCGAGCGACTACGAGGCACTACCGCCACGGGACGGGCCAACTGGACCCTAGGCACCGTCGTATTTCGTGGAGGTAGCCCAGTATCGCACGTGGGATGCGAGGTGTGCAGGTCTACGCGCAAGGTTCGAGCCAATCGCGGCGTCGATGTCTGCGCGACAGAAGCTCCGCACTTAGCACCAGCTCGATTCCGTCCGTGACTACACCACCAGGTTTTTGGCGCTGTGCAAGCAGGTGGGGTACATGCAAGAACCTGAGCGCATCGACCGTTATGTCGGTGGCCTGAAAAGCGACCGCGCAAGAAATTCTGCTCCGCAACGTCACCGAATTCAACGACATACTCGCCATGGCGGAAAAACTAGATTTCCTCCGCCGACCGAGATCGGGGTCCTACGGCAACAGAAGCAGCTGGGGACACCGAGCTCGTAGGACGAACGAGCATGCCACGATATGAGTTGTCGCGGCAAATGCCGCTGCCGCACCATTCAAAGGGCGCTGCTTCGTGTGTAATCGGCCGGGGCACCATAAGGGCGAATGCCCGGAAAGCGCTAAGGGCAAAGAGGGAGAAGAGCAGTAGAGATAGACCAAGCACCAGGGAAACGCTGGGAGTCAGTAGCAGACAGGTCACGCCGCTCGCCCGACCCAACCGACCCTCACCGAGTGACAGTGCCGATTCATGCAGTCGACCACACCCGGCTGAACAATGAGGGATCAACGGTAGATAATCCCATACTTCTTAGCGGGAAAATCCACACGGACTTTATAAAATCTTCGTAGACAGGGGGGCTAGCCACTGTTTAATAAACACTGCCACCGCAGGTAGACTTAAACAGACACTGGACCGGTTCTTACCTGAAATCGACGCACGACTAGTCGACGGCACGCCACTGGCGATACGGGAACGCGTGGAAAGAGTTCGGATCCGTTGCGATGGTAACTTCACCTTCACCCAGGAAATGTTGGTTGCGGTTAGCAAAGCAGAGCCCGTCGACTAGCACTCCTTGACGGGCCTTGTTAACCAGTACCTCTCAACGGGCTTGTCGACGACCGTCGCCGTCGACCACTGTCCTCTGCCGGCGATATCGACCGCATCCCGTCGAGCAAGGTCTGCTCGACCGACACTTTTGCAGATCCTCGTCGACCAGGTAACTTGGTCGACCGGGTTGCTCCGAAATCGTCGTCGACTTGGCGGGCAGTAGAAGCCCGCCAACTGCTGAACATGCTCGTCTACCGCCTTGGTCGACACCGTCCACCGACTTTCCCATGTCGGTGTCCCCACAAGTCGACGAAGTCCATCGTCGACCACCCAAGTCGAAGTCGGCCGCCGATCTCTCTCGTCAGTGGCTTCGCAGTGGTCCCGGGCAGGTCGACTACATGGGTAAGTAACGAACTTACCCATGTGGTCAGCGGCGTTACGCAGTGCTCGCCTAAGTCGGCCTTGACTTCTGCGGGCAGTCGGCATCGACTTCTGCGGGCAGATGGCTACACCTCCCGCGCACCCGACT